TCCTGTCGGAAACTGGTTGCATGAACCACATCTCACCCCGTCCAACTTCTCTGTTTAATGTGTGTTGATAAGATAATGAATCGGACAGTTGAAGGAGCCGGAGGTGACGTGTACATAGAAAAACCTGATGAGTCACCTCAGCCTTCAGCGTTAGCCTCATAGCACAGTGTAGGAAAGCTAAACTACAGGAAGTGGATGGAGTCTTTGGATTGCACATCAAGGAGGGACTCTGCAGGTAGTGGAGTGATTTGAGCAAGACGGAAGTTGCACCAGTTCTGAAGTGGTGAGATTCTCTATATGTATCTCAAAGGCCAGAACCGTGATGTAAATCTGCGCCGATTGTTGCATCAAAAAGACATTCTTATCAGAGGGTTGTCATACATTTGCAGCATTTGTGGGTGGAGGATCTAAGGGATCTTCGGGTTTTTGACCATCCGGTACCCCAGCAACGAGAAACCGGCACCAACGAATCTCCAACAACTTGATCTGGAAATGCGTATCTGGTTAAGCACACGGTAATTCGCTTGTGGAGCGTAAACAGCAGTTCGCGTGCTGTACATGTCGAAATATATGCGCTTTTCATGTCATCCTCAGCACCACGCAAACCAAGGTATGGGCAAAACATGTCTTGGTGGACAGTTTACGAGAATTTTTGGTGCTCTCATTGCTGTCCGCCTTCCAAGATGAAGCCCACGTGGACGTTGCAACACAAGACCCCTGAAAGTTGTCAGTGGCAATGCAACAGTTTAGATTGCTAAAGTAGGAGCCTGGACTTGTGAACACCTCGGCTGGTTGCCGAGGTTCCAACAAGGTGCCCAAAACAGTTCTACGGTTCGGCTAGATCCAACAAAAGCCTACATTAGCAAGGAACATTTAGTCCTGAAAAGGGAGAGATAAACGGTGGTGATACGTGATCAAGGTCTGGATCGCAACTTACGCGTTGTCGCAGTAGGACATCGTCCGAACCAAGGGGATTTTCATCATCACTGTCGCCATCATTATGCGAACTATCAGGTATCTCGGAAACCGAAGGTGCAGCTCGCTTCCGCACTGGTTTGTGAGGCTCCATCGACGTTTGCTGATAAATAGAGAGAAGGAAAGTGGGTAACATTCAAGGTTGATGCTAATTTACCGTTGGCACTGAATCCACGAAAGGCGAACACCGTAAACCAACGAGGGCTGATGCAAACATGTCTCGACGAATCCACAAATGGGGACCGTACAGACTATAAACACAGTGACCAGAAGGACTATATAGGCGTGTACAATTATATAATACTGTTACACAAGTACCAAAGAAGAACATGAGAGATGTGTGGATCACCAAAAGGTGATTCACAAGAAAAATTTAGCCCCATTCAAACAGTGGCAAGATCATCCTCGAATTCGTTTAGTCCAGTGGATAGATGATCGAAGAACCTCTGCATAATTTGTCCCGAGTGCAGTTTAACGAGTAATGGGTGGCAACGTCTGTGTACGATTGGCCTTATTTTTTATAAGTGAGGTGTTGCGTAGGTTCTCAAGATAGCCCAGAGGACCGAAGACATCTGAGCATACTTATTCAGTTAAGCTTCCAAACATCGACAAACAGGCATTCGATGAAAGGGGAGTTGTTTACCTTATTAGGTACTTCTGGTTTCGTTTCCCTGGGTCTTGGAATTTTGTGAGAGGTACAGGTATCAGACAGTCCAGAGTCGTTTTTTGTTTTTGCCGTAGGTGAAGAAGGGACAGGAGCGGAATTATTATGGGGAACGACGGCAACAGGTAGGGCAGGTGTTTGGCGACGTCGAGCAACCAAACGACAAATGACTTCATCTGCAACGTCCGACACGGCATCACTGTCGAGTCCGGAGTCATCGAGTTTGGGCGGTTCAAAGTTTGGCTGTTTTTCTTGGGACGGAGGAGTGCTGTGTGGTAGGACACGATAGGACGTTGTTGGAACATACCTGGAGGAAGGGGGGAACCGAGAAGGAGGCTTGATAAATGCATACATATAGTACTTTTTGGTGGTAGTTACATTCAGTCGGTATGTAACTTTTCAAGTTCAATAACTATCTCGGCCACCAAGTAATTCCATATTTTATGATACATTCCTATGGATACGAGAATGGTCACTGCTTCGATACTAGGGTTAGCAAGCACAGTGAGTGGAAATTCTGTTCACTCGTTGTCTCCGACGGGCCACTTGCAATGCTCCCAACCTATGGACATTTAAAAGAATATACACATATACGATTGGGAAAACGTGACGGTTTATCCTTGACAAGTGATTCGATAATAGGGCGTGTGCGGAAACCAGGGCAGGACTATGATGCATTGTAGGCGGCCTGAATAGCTCCCCCTCGATTTCTGTGATGTAACTCCTCAAGAGATTCATACTTGAGGGGCAAGCTAGTGTATACCTGTCGTCAGCTCCAACTCATGATCTGCACGAGTTGAACCGGTTGGTTTTAATAATGGAGATGTTTTGCAAACACCGAAGCTCAGATGTAGGCACATGCCTGCATATGTCAGTGACTCTGTTAGTCAAACAGCAAGTTGAATTACGATTTTGCCTAAAAGAATAAAAGCGTATGGATCACTTTACATGTGATCCACATAGGGGATAGATCCATCGTTCATTCCCCTAGGTTGACGAATGGGATTTGACCTCCCTGTTCTGATTCATGCATAAAAAGTGAATACCGTCTAGACATTGCTTATAATGTTCGAATTTCTCCACAACAATGGGTCTCCAGTCTACTCAGTCAAGTAGTGAGCTCATTGCAGTTCCACCCTTTTGTTAGTATACCTGGTCACTGGGCGAGAATGGCGTACTACTAGTGTATCGGACGAGTACCTCCTCAACTTTCTCTTATTTCCTCCATTCTCCTGGATGTAGTGACACGAGTAATCTATGGTTTTCTGCAGAGGGCTGATATAAACAGAAAATATGTGATTGCTGGTGTTCGGATCTTTTGCACTATCGTCGCGGAGTCTACACTCTGCTGGTCGTTTTCACATTGGTTCACATCGGACACCAAGTCATTTGACAAGACGCGTTGGAGTTATCCTGTAGCGGTCGCAGAGGCACCTTAGGGATCCCACACAGTCAAAGTATCACGGTTCTCGTTGGATCAAGGCGTTATAATTCGGTTTTATACGTCGGATCACACTGCTCCCTGCCTTCTCTCCGTGAGGTTTTACGATTTCCGGCTTTCATCTTGTCAAACTTGGTTACACCGGACAACATACCATTCGTTTCGGTGACATAGTCGGATATGCCCATGAGTGTGGTGCCTGCGTATTTATCAGATCCAGATATTGAAAAAGGGTCTTCAGCAATAGTTTGTAGGCACATGTCGGCCAAAGGTACAGGTACTGACAACGGTGTTGAAAAAAGTGAACTCCAGACTGTCTAACTTGGCCTCAGGAGGCGCTACTAAATTACTTATCTCGTGGTAAGAATGTTCAAATTAGGTTTCCAACTCGAGCTGATTGCTGCAACGACGTAGAAATCAGATTTTGACCCTACTGAAAAAAGACTAGAAACCGTTCAGCTGTAACACTCCTTCAATGCCTAGCTACCATGCCACCCGAAGGGAGCAGGAGGACTGCGGTACTGCCAGGTTACCCAAGCCTAGACAGGGGAAGTCGAGAGGCAGAGGTCAGATTCGAACCACGAACCTTCCGGTCAGTAAATTCGCGTTCCAACCGCTTGAGCCATCTCGCCCCCTTTGACCCTACTGACGAATCCTCAAGAAGAGTGAGATCCATTTTTAATGAATGTACCTTTCAAGATTATTTGAAAACGGCGCAAAGCACCGCTACGTTCGATTGACTAGAAAATTCATTCAGATTCTCGTTGGTGCATTTAGTAAATATATCATCATCGACAGCATGACATCAGTGTTCAACACCGATGCTTCACTGCCTGCAGGTCTCAAGGTCGGGGCGTTCATTTTGGGATGGCGCTCTCAGCGCCTCATCATCATCATTGTCAGCTGTCCTAACCGCGTACTTGCCGTACAATGGTTGTAGCTGCCACAGTTTCGTTCACCGATGATTCGGGGAGATTGGGTAGCTAGCTGCGCATTGGAGCCAGGAGCTGATAAATCAGTGCGTAAATACAGCACTGTAGGATGACTGTTAAGTGGGCGATTGGGAAAGTACCTATGCATCGAAGGCAATCGCTTGGATGCATGAGCACCATTGAGGACGCGACTGGGCCATATTTGACAGTCTCTAACCACTGACATGGCCCGTCTCAGGGTCCCCATCCAGGAAGACGGCAATGATCAGCGCAGCTGAGTTTGCTGGTACTGGCTTTTATACTTCGCTTCCAAGTCATTGTTTGACCGCCTCTGGCTCTCTTCCACCCTTCACGTGGCTGTGCGAAAAGAACCATTCGAGGAATTCGGTCGGCTGGCATACGGAGCACGTGACTAAGCCAGCGCAACCTATGCAGTGTGATCAGTTCATCTACCGAGGGTGTTATTTCCTGTTCCTACCAGAGTCGGGCAATGCTCCGAAGACATCAATGGTCAAACACTGAAAGTCTTTTGACGTCCTCGGCGCGCAGCGGCCAGGTTTCTGATGCATATAGTAATATGGAGCGCACCGCAGCATTATGAAGTCGACCCTTGACAGAGAAGCTGATGTCACGCCTACGCCACAGGTGACGTAGGCTCGCAAAAGCTGCTCTGGCCTTCACAATCCGGATGGAAATTTCGTCTTTCGTGAGACCACCGGGACTGATACAGCTGCCCAGGTAAAAATTTGTTTACTACCTCAATCGGTTCATCCGCAAGCATGAGGCTAGGGTTCGAGGCCACCCAATCTTGCAGTAGCACTTTACACACTTTTCAGGTGTGAAGCGCATGCCGAACCGTGAGGCAGAATTATTTAGAAACAACCACTGTTGGCTGCTAAGAGCAGCGTTGCTGTTCCAGAATCTGTCTGAGGGTGATCATGTGATCGACGCATCCTCTTGCAGGATGGAACCCAGCTTGGTTTTTACGAATCTGCCTCTCCATGTGTTCAGTCAACGCTCGAAGGATAAGGCGAGAGAGCACCTTCGATACTATATCTACCAGGCTGATACCACAGTGGTTTTCACAAGGCATCCGCGCACCCTTTTTGGAGATAGGAAGACCTCGGCAGATTAGCAGCATGTACATCTTCATTTGTTTTGAGTGACTGAATCGCACAGGACGTACAACTGTAAGCGTTGCGAGCGTTATCAGATCACTTCTTGAAGGCAAACTGCCAAGTCTTACCACCTGTTCCTCTGAAGGCTCCTCTGAATGCTTGCGTTGGACATACGACAGAGTCTGCTGGAAAAATAAGTTAATTTTATCCACACTTCGTGCCATAACATCAAACATCAGTGAATCTACCGGTTGCCCTTCCAAATTTGGACGTATGTAATGGGTTTATTATTGTTCATCTTGGGACCGTAAGTCGGTCAATAGCACTGAGCTGACAGTCGTTAAGGCTGATTCTCATCCATCCAACGAATGCATTTCTTTGCGCCCAAAAGCGGTACGTACGCACGTGCTTTTTGGATTTCAACAAAGACAATAACACAGACCTAAAGGTGACTCAGTGGTTAGGGCATAAATTTACTGAATGGAAGGTTCGTGCTTCGAACCCAACTTTTCCTGTCCAAGCTTGGGCATACTGGCAGTGTCTCAACCCCCGTGAGGCATGGCAGCTAGGCACTGATAGGTTGCCAAGGCTCGACCAGTTATTCATTCTATTTTCATAAAGTGGATCAACATATTATTATCCCTTCAATCACTGCCGCGTTAGCACGACACGCCATCATCAGCGTGAGCCCATTTTCTTTTCACTGTATGTTGATTCTCTGATGCCATACGCATTTTTTGGTAAAGCTCTCCGATGAGCAGTTAGGAGAAAGCGACCTTACTTAGAGGGCAGCTACATCATTAAAATTTTGAGCCATACTGTTACAAGTCGAGTCACTTTTCCGATGACAACAGGCTACCTGTGGGACCTTAATGCCTTTCACCTCATAATTATGAACACAGATCACTTCCGCGGAACAATTTATCTCAGTTGTGCTGTTTGTCATAGATCAAAGGTCACCAGCCGAACGAAAAAAACCTATTGAACAGTTCATAAGCAGAAAGAAACCACAGAAACAACAGGTAGGCCAACTGCGTTCATTTCTGGGGCGGGCTCACTGTAAAGTCCCGGAAGCCAGGCGATAGGCAGCACGTTATAAACAGCTGACTACTGTGCAGAAATTAGTAGTGAGTTGTCGAAGCTAGTGTCACTTGCGATTTCGAAGCCAAGGACGGTTAAAGGCCCACTGCTGCACACAACCAACACTACGGCTGTGCACCAACCAGTGGGAATACAGTTGTCAGTGCAATAAGCTTTTCGTGACCACACAGTGCCACTGAAACAACCGCCGTTAGCTCTGTTCTTATGTCGCCACCGGGTAACTGTTTGCCCTGAACTCGTCAGTGCCTGCTCTACAGACGTTCGCGCCTCTAAACATACCACTTTATTTGAACCATTAAAGTCCATTCCTTCAAGCCTTTTAAACAGGGCTGTTGCGTGCATCAAACTGTACAAGGGTTTGTAATGTAGGACTGTCAGTATCATTGGAGCATTGTGTGGAATTGGTGAGAATACTCAATCAGTGACGAGTAGACAAGTCAGATGGTTTACGGAGTAAACAACACAAACCAGGAGGAACGAACTGTTCCAATTCCATAGAGGCCGTTGGTGAGGGGTGAATTGTTCGCTTCGTAGTTCATTTTACCCAACCGGAAGATAGAAAAGCCGTTAGTTGGTGACTTTCAACCAGTTATGAAAGCTAGGAATAGCAAATTTGGTCGTACTGGCAACTTCCATTAACATGGATGGAAGCCTCATTGGTTGTCGAAGCTGGTAGACATGGGGCAGTTACAAAACCAGCCCTCATACTCTTCAAACCTTCACGAAAACACTAAAACGATCCTGAATTAGCGAACTAGTCAGACCACTGCCTACAAAATGCGGCTGTCTTCTGGGTGAATGAAACCATGGCAACACAGGCCAACATATATTTGGTGCTTGGTTTACAGCCCATGTTCTGAACTAAAATGGAACGTGAGGCTTGAGAATTTCAAAACTGGCAACATTTCCAGTCAACACGATGAACTAGGATAACGAGTCGAGTAGAAGCAAAATTAACACCAACCTCGTGTCGACATCATCTTCATCTTGCAAAGAAATGTGGTCTCCACTCGGAGGTAGGGGTAACGAGCCACGCACCTTGCGATTGCGCCTCTTCTGCTCACGCGACTTCCATTTACCTGAAATATTCTTGTACAACATGTAGTGTACCAAGCTTCGCCAGTCCGGATGAGTCTCGCGAAAAGACTGCACAAAAGTGGTGACGGGTTTCGTAGTCGCCACACGCACAACGAGGCGATCCTGTGCGCTCATTTTGTGACCATTCTGTGAAAGCTAAGGATGAAATTAGGTAACGAATGGGTACTAGAATAACGAAAAGAGTAATCGTTTAGCTGTGACAGCCTTCGGGTGACTGGATTCCAAGCCACACGAAGGAAGGGCCGAGATAATGCGAGGTTGCCCAACCCAGAAACAGTCGAAATGCAGCGGTCAGTAAGTTCGCACCCTAACTACTGAACTGTCTCGAGCTGAGTACTACAATCGTCCCTGTGAAATTAAAAGATCTACCCTACGGAAAGTAAACAGTTCTCCACCCGTATAATAGTGAGCAACACAAAGATCATAGTTAATAAGAGCGCGTGACCTTAGCGATCAGTATTTTGAAGTAGTACCAGCTGCTTCGTGCAGACTACGCCTCCTAACAGGGGTGCGAGATGGACCAAGTGGTTAGGGCGCGGATTTGCTGACCAACCTTACCGACCTCCACCTCTCGATTTCCCCTGTCTAGGCTTGGGTGACCTGGCAGTATCCTAGCTCACGTGCCTCCTTCGTGTGGCATGGCAGCTGGGCATCGAAAGGGTGCTACAGCTGTACGATTTTTTCTACTCACGGTGCTTCAAGTGGGGAAAATATTTAGCTGATAGCAAGTGACTAAATGGCTTCCCGAAAGAAACAAAGTGAAGTTCCCAATTAGTGTCTCCAATCGTAGTGCCATGTTCTCATTCAAAGTCAGCCAACAAGGTCTCAATAGGTATTTTATTCTGAACGTGTACGTTGAAGAGCATAGTATTACTGAACAGCAGTTTCATCCGTGTTGGGAGTCATCGGCAGTGCATCTCTCATGAACCTCTCAAAGGTTCGTATTCAGAAGTTAAAGGTCGTAACTGGCGTCAAGATCATTAAGTTATCATTGGTTGACGGACAATGTGATTAACTAGCACAAAACTTTGCCATGTGTTGCCTTACTCCCAGAGTGATGACTTCTCAGACCGGAAAGTCTTATGTGACGCATGAGACCTGTCCCATTCTAGACAGATTACTCCCGGATTGTGAGAAAGGTTTTAAAACAGCTGTGGATTGACTTCGTATGAAAAATGAATTCTCAAAGGAAATCTTAGAATTGCCTCAAAACGTCAGCAAAATTGTTTGCATACTGGTAAAAACCCAATGCTTTTCCTAAAAAAACGACAGTCCTCTGAAGCGAACTGAGGACTTTCCGGAGAAATTTCCCATATATCGTGTTGTAGAAGAGCATAATTCACTACTCTGCCAGACTCATTGAATTAGTTCACTACTATACTACCTATACCATACATATACTATACTATGCTGCCTATGATACCTAACCAAGACCAGATTGCCGAGAAACGGCGGCCTTGGAAATAAAGCCATGGAGATCTCCTGCCCCTCCGTAATCAACCTGAAATCGAGGGGATGTCAGGTTCTTTCACACGATGAAACGTGGCGCGAGCGGAAAGCATCACCACTCAATACGTCCAAACCGAAAAAAAACTAAAAACTATAAAACTTTAGAAAGATTCCTATTCTTTCGCCAAAATCATGAAACTTTTAAGAATGCACGAAACAGTTTATAAGGGATGGAGTAATCTTCGGCACTCAACATGAAGGTGCTGCCAACAAACTGTTAAAATACTGTCGTAGTGTCACTGCATCGACAGAAGCTGAGGGTCATATACCACGCTTTCTTCGAAATAATTCTAAAGGATCACAGATGAAACCAAAAAACGAGGTTTTGCCATTACGACAGGAACAACTGTGATTCCGGGGCATTTAGCTATTCCGCAGTTGACTTTGATTAATACAAACCGATCCGAACTCCCAAGGCAAGTGACTCACTGAAATTGAAACAAGCGAGGTTCTTAACAAGGGTAGGTCTCTTCTCAGCATACTGGGACTTCAGAGTAAGAGCGCGACTACTTTGAGGCTGAGGCCTTGGAAACTGTCTTAGTGGTTCGCCAGGCATTCAACCCGGGAATACTGTACTCGGAGAGGCTGCAGTTTACAGAGGATTTCCAAGTTTAACAGGAAGTGAGGGTGGGAGCGTCGCACTGGAAATACGTGTCACGGCCAACCAATTGGTAAAGCAAAACCGACGGTTAAAATAGCAGAGTCTACAACGACTCTGGCTTGCGAATCATGAGGTGTACATGACTCTGGGGGGCAAAGAAACATCTGAACTGCACAGTCCCGTCTAAAGAATGTTTGATCACAGAGTGTGTACAGCGCTACCCATATTGGGAGAAAGACTTCCGAGAAACCTACCTAAGGTATAAGATGCTGAGCGATCGTAGCTATGAAGGGGCATTACGGTCAAAGCACGTGCTGAGCACCTAACCTGGAGAACGTGGGAAAGTAGGCATACAGAGCGCCCCAGAGAACTCCAAGTTGTGAGGAAGTGGGAGTGTAAGGACAAAGTATGGATACCACTCGCATGATAAAAAGGTTCGTGGGAAGGCCACATGGAAGGACACGATTAATCTCAGAAAAGGCTACAAGGCGGCAACAAACTTGCACGAAGTGTTTTTTGGTAAAGGGAGGACGTGGCGGTAAAAGGCTAGTAAAGCATGTGCTAAAAGGCTAGGAAAATCTGTGCTGACAGTAACACGTAACGATGCGACAACATGACCGCCCAATAAACGCCCATAGTAGGCACACAGTCTAAGGATCAACAGAGTACTACACAGTTTACGAGCGAGAGTGAACGGAGGCCATCTCATTAGTAAGGTCCGTTTTATTTTAGCAATGCGGACAAACAACCAGTCGACTTGGCCGTAACGCTGGGTACACTTTGAATACGAATCAATACATTTACTAGTTCAAGACGCGTTGAACTTCCGGCTAGAACACTTAGCAGTCACGTAATGGTCTACGTCGAACTCAAAATATTTTGCGGCGAAGGATATAAGTTACGGATTTGGTAGAACCTGGGCTGAGCGAACGTTAAGGTAAAAAAAACTTACCTCGTTTGCGGTATTTTCGTTGGCAAGCAGCAGCTTACACAATCGAATGACAGATAGTTGATTCAAGGTTTGCAGTTCTGCAGTGCGATTTTCTAGCTTGTGTTGGAGGCGCTGACTTTCTGGAGATTTGGTAAGCTTCATGCGCATTTTCTTTATGTATCGCGTCAAATCACGGAAGGCGTAAACCTGTGCCGCAAGTTGAGCCCAGTAAAACGCTAGTTGCTGCTTACCTTTGCAACCTTGACCACCTTGCGCATTTTGACCAAGGTGTTGTTTAGTTCTTCCACAGAGGCGGACGGTTGTGGTGGACAGTCAGTCAACTTGAAGGTGAGCGACATAACTGGTTTTGTCGTCTGGCTGAAATTAAGGAAGTATGACTCCACAGATATAAGGGCTAAATCCAGTAAATCAATGATGAGTCAATGATTAGGGAAAGTTCTCTTCAAAATAACGAACCTCTCACTGGAATGGATGAAACCAGATTTTATCAAGGGTCTCAACCAATAGGCTTAAGGGTTTTGATATTGAGGTAGTAGTCGTTCAGCTATAGAACCCATGCCACACGAAGGAGGCACGAGGGCTGGGATACTGCCAGATTGCCCAAGCTTATACAGGGGAAGTCGAGAGGCAGAGGTCGGGTTCGAACCACGGACCTTCCGGTCACTAAATTCGATAAATGAACAGCTTTGGGAAGCTGCAGGGAACGATAGGAAAAGTTAGACAGGAAGGGAAACGAGGGGCAATAAACCCAATATTCACTACCACTGCCTGTAATTAGCGGTTCACCAGTTGCACTATTGTATATCATCATAATAGACATCGTCCATAAGTACTATTGTAACGGATCTGTGAATAGCGACTTTTGTGTATAGAAAAACAGCGACGTTCGTCGATAAATCAAGGGCTGACAAACCGTCTCCTGGCCTTTCATGCTGGGGGTGGAGTGGGGGTTGAACAAGTGCGATAGCCTGTCACACCTTAACTAGACTACTGTGGTAGTCTTACGCCAACAGCCTGTGCCTTGTCTCTTTTGAGCCAAATAGGTTGAGTGAAAACCTTAATCGTCTTACCCGACCTAAAGTTGCCACCCTAACGTGATGGTAGGGTTTCAGTGCCGCAATGATCCCGAGAGCCATATTGGCTGGGAATGAGTCAATTAAGGCCCAACCAAGCCAGGAAGGCCAATGAAGAATACGAACAACAGCGAGTCCATGTATCGAGAGAAATCGTATTACGAGTCATCTTGAAGTCCATCGACAACATCATCGATAGTATTGCATCGGTTTTTAACACTGATGCTTCGCTGCCGCAAAGTCACAACTAATCCAAAGTCATATTGTGAAGGAAAGAATGAAAAGGAACGGAGAAGGGATTTGATATTGGTTTACCATAATCATTCCGAGGTATATACATTTTTTTATTTTATATACATCTCCAGACACTCATTCGTAGTGTTCCTGTAGACAAATAAGCTTCGTGGGTTAGGAAGGCCGAATAAATGGGGGATTCAGAAAATGCTGGAAACGTCCGCCAGGTGTTCTACTTATGTTGTTCATCTGGACTTCGGAAACCTCCTGTCAGCGAAGGTATAGGGGACCTAAATGGTTACCTGATATCGGACATAGAAAAACGTTTGGACGGCTGCGTACAATACCTTAAACAATTCAGTTAGTCCCCTCGTTAGTCAGTCCTCGTGCTTCCTTCGGGTGGTATGGCAGCGACAAACAGGAAGGTTTATATCCCTGGAGACTGGAAAATTCTACATGCCTCGGTAATTGTATTGGCTTCGACAGAAATGTCTGATAAAGTCAGTTTGAGAATCTCAAAGGCTCGAATCTCGTCTGCTAATTTGCGTCACTTATGGTGTCAAAAAGGCATATCACTATACCTTAATGATCATGTGTATCAGGCTACAGTGAGGGCTGTGTTGTTGTATGGGTACGAGACGTGGCCTCCGNGTGGATGTGAGGCGTCTTCAGGTTTTTTTACACCCGATACCTTAGAAGCATTCCTGGTTTTGGATGGTATCAACCGATTAAGAGCGTTGTCATTAGAAGACAGGTCCTTGATTGTACAGCAGGTGACTCAATCGCCGAAAATATCCAGCACCACCAACTGTGGTGGCTTGGTCATGTGATACGCATGCCGTAACTCCATCTACCGTGACTGACCGAGTACAAGTCACTCCTTGCTATGTTTATCCCGAAGAAGTGAATCCCGGGTTATACCGCTAACCGCCTCCAGCGATTGGCCACTCTGCTTTTGGGACATGATTTCAAGATCAAGTACCAGTTCACCACCAGCCACCGACAAACCGGTACACTGTCACAACTCGTTGATCCAAGCAGGCCAGAAACAGATACTATAGTTACGGCAACTGTCTTGGAACCGGAGGTCAACCTCGGAGTATCCTGAGCGGTTCGCATTATCCGAATGACTTCCGACATGGTCCACTAGTCTACTGACCAAGACCCCGTGCTGCAACACAGTGGCCGCGTACATGCCAAAAAGGACTAGCTTGAACCTTACTGCAACCGTCGTGATGCACTGTCGTAGTATATGGTGTCTGCTAGTTTGAGTGTTTTACTTGTAAGTATTGGTGCTGTACAACCTTGCTTACTGGGCTTCGGCTTATGAGTTTTTTTTATTTTCCATCCACAGAAACTGTACAACGTTGAGCCCCTGCCTCCGGAGAATCATTGTCCTCTGGTGCTCCAATAGCGTGCATACTACTGAGGTACACCGGATACTATACCATAACTAGTCGATAGATGCCTTTTGTTTTCAGAACGGCCCACAACCGTCACTACAGTCCTGGAACCCCGATGCTTGTCCAGTCGCTTTTGAACAACGGGAGGTTCACATCGTCGGCATTCGCAGATTTTTAAAGCGAGATCAGTACAAGTAAACCGGGCTTCGAAGCTACGCCGTCAAACTTTAAGCGGGAGGTATTGAGCGGGGTTACACACCGATACTGCTTTACTGCTCGCCTTTAGACTATGCTGCGGCCGATAAGTAAATCCCGCACAAGATTGGCCAAAAGTTCGGGCTGCTTGTCGGACAAGCATCAAGGCGACCTCGGATTGGTCGAAAGCCACTCATAATCCATTGGCAGAACAACAAAAACAATGGCGCGTCCGGAAGGCGTCAGAATTTCTTGAATTCCCCCGTGGCAAAGACTATACAAACAGGTGGTGTGACTAGGTTTTGAGCGCTAATATAAGTTGAGCACCTTTGGCGGTTGATTTTGACGGGGACACTAGCTTGGGGGGGTTAGACAGGAGGGTTAACACTAGCTTGGGAGGTTTAGACAGAAGTGTTCAGTACTGATGCTTCACTGCCGTACAGCCATGATTCAGTCGAAATACCTTTTGTCAGGAAAGGAATAAAGTTGGATGGGAAAGGGATGTAGAGCCAGCTTCCTGCAGTCATTCCGACGTTCATACACCTCCAACACTCTTCCCGGCAACATTGGTAGTGACTGACAACAGGAATGCAATTTGCATCTATTAACAGCACATTCTACAGTATATTCAACCAGATGCAGAAAGCGTTGCGCGGTTTTCATCCTGGAAGGCGAGTATCACAGGTGGCACTCAAACGTTTCTCGATCCCTTCCATATCCCATGCCGGGACAACAGTTGGCGACCACTCTGCTTCCGCCGCTCTGCATTGGACACGGAAAACAGCACTCTCTTCGATAAACAATTGTTCAGCATGCGTACCACATTTCCAAGCCAACGCACCTCCTTGTACTGGACACATTCTTCAATGAAAGCTCCTGTTTCACAAATGAGTGTCGCTTTCTAACGGCCTGGTTACGGATTTGCTGACACCAAGATATGGTCCTGACAAAACCACCGTTGAACACCTGAATCCGTCTTAATTCCATTGCTTGAGGAGGCCAACTGTCAACAAAACAGGCCGCACTATAGCTAGATACCTATGTCCCATGGGATTAAGGGTTACACCCCCCTGAGGCCATGGATGTCTCAAGTTAGCAGACGCGATCTGAGCCTTGTAGATTCGAGTATCTGTCTCATCTCTCTCACTACAGGCATATCGAATACAACTTCCAAGCTACGTAAAACACTCCATAGCCTCGAGTCCTGCCCCCGGATTGTAGCAGGCGCGCTCAGAGACATGTCCACGGGCATGACCTTGAAGTTGTGGACGCAAAGGTGCATACAAAGGACGGGATGACCCTGAACAGTTCATCTAAACACATCTACTTCTTCTGCTCTTTGACGACGAGACCCACATCATCTGGACATTCAACATCGACGTGGTTTTCGTCAGAAGCTAGATGAACACCGGCGTTTCGAAGACATTCCAGTGTTCTTCACATTATCCCGTCGACCACGAATTTAAATGGGGATGGGAAAAGCAAGCATCCCTGACAGTACTTCTTTCTGGACGCAAGGTTTTGTGGAGCCTTTCGTGCACTCGCACATGTGCACATGTCCGAGGATATAAAGAAATTGCTATGTTTGCATACTTCCAGGGCATTACTCGAGGGGCAACCACTTCATGGAGAACTGAGCACTCAAGTAATTCGAACTAGCTTTGAGAGAGAGAGAAGTCCAGCTGTAGCACCCTTCAAGTGCTTAGCGCCATGCCATCCGAGGGAAGTATGGGGGCTAGGATACTGCCGGGTCGCCAAAGCCTAGACAAGGTAAGTCGTGTGGCGGAGGTCGGTAAATTCGTGCTCCGACCACTTAGGCCATCTCGCCCCGAATGCCCCTTGGGAATCCAGGAGTAGTGCAACTGGGGGTCGTTTGCACCTTTGGCGTTACGCGGGCACCTGACGGAGGGCGAAGTGTCGGGATATAAAGAAATTGCTATGTTCACATACTTCCAGGGCATTACTTGAGGGGCAACCACTTCATGGAGAACCGAGCGCTCAAGTGATTCGAACGAGCCTTGAGAGAGAGACGTCCAGCTGTAGCACCCTTCCGGTGCTTAGCTGCCATGCCACCCGAGGGAGGCTAGAACACTGCCGGGTCGCGGGTTAGTCGTGGGAGGAGGTTGGCAAATTCGTGCTCCAACCACTTGGGCCATCTCGCCCCGAATGCCCCTTGGGAATCCAGGAGTAGTGCAACTGAGGGTCGTTTGCACGTTTGGCGTTTGCGGGCATCTGGAGGAGTGCGAAGTGTCGGTCAGTCCTTATCAGGGCAGAACCCCGTCCACCGATCTCGAGCCAGCGTTCCACGCGCCAGCATGAGGCAACGAAGCAACGTTTGAACCGGGATTGGGCTGATCCTCCTGTGCATGTCACACTCGGTGCGAGTCCCTCTTT